ATGTCTTGGTGCAATTAAAATCGTGTGTGCATTAACTTTGAAGGCATGTGTCACTCTGTTCATTTAACTTAATCTTCCACAATACAACACTTCGGGGCCTCTAAAGTTTCACAAGATATTAAATAACAATGTTCATGTCATAAAGTGTATTTTAATGTCCCTGTAATTATATCTACCTGTGCTTATGCCCTTTTTTTCAGTGTCCTTGGTTGGGAACTCAATTAATCCAAGAAGTTATGATGCCTTGCATTATTTTGTAAAGAAATACACTGTAGGTATCATTAAAATGTAGAAAAAATCTTGATTATGTATTTATGTTATCACCTCCTAGATCTACCTGCTATGATAAATGAGGCCTCGCTCTGAAATTTCCATACCTCTACTTTTGCTGAACTGCTAATTTTGCTGCATCCAAACTTGTTAACATAGCTTGTTTTTCCACTCGCCCTCCCCGTAGAATTACTAAGGTGAGCATGAAGATATGGGAATGGGGCTGGAGAAATAAAGGGTCTAGGGTCGGGGACCTGTGGAGGTTTTGCCCTCCGATAATGGCGCGACTTTGCTATAAACAGAGGTAAAGTTGTTCCAAAAACTTTCCTTACAAACTAGTATTGTAACATTATGTTTTAATAGGACTGGATCCGCTTTTTTTTTTACTGGGGAGAGGTTGAGGTTGGCTCGGGAAAGAAAGAGGTCCAAAACCATATGCAATTTGAATCAATTATTTTTGTATTGTTTAACGGCCAATCGACAATATGAGTCATTTAAGGCCAACAATACTGTAAAAAGAGACATTCACGAAAATAAACACATCAAACCAAAACTTAATAGCTTAAATTTTTTAAAGGATTAAATAAATACATCAATATCAAACAAGTTGGCTGCACAATATATAATATTTTACTGTAAAGATCAATAGAGTGTAAATAGCCATATATTAATTGCATAGAAACTGTATCGAATAATCTTTTCACAGACGGTACATCATGAAATCTGTGACGTATTTGTTTGAATCAATAAGTGTCGTTCTCAAGATGATACCGCGAGTAGGTAACACTCTGGTTATTGTAGAGCGCAGTGCTTCATATATCAAGCGGAGCGAGGCGATACTTTTTTCTGAAGTTGATAAAAAAAAGTTTTTCAGTTCAGTAGTTTTATGTTGAATGTGTTTATAGTTTTGATGTTTGTGTGAAAGAACATTCTGGCAGTCTAGTTTCCACTGTACAGTGTAATTTATAAGGACACTACAATTATTCATAAATACAGGTGAATATATGTATGTATAACTTACAAGGCACAATTTCTCATTACATTTGCACTATCATGTAGTTCTTGGTTGGGGATGATCGTGCACCAGAAAGCAAAAGACGTTTTGTTTGCCTTTCCTTATTTTGTATAGAAATATATTAATATTTTACGAATCATCGAATGCAAACCCAATTGCTTAGTGACATACTTGGTAAAACAAAAAGAAAATCATTGTTTTGACCAGACTTATAGACTCACAAAAAGAACGTTACGTACAGCCAAAGGGTCATAACTCTTACAGAAAAACTGCAGTCGGAGACTGTCGCGTAGTAATCATTTCTGCCACTGAAACTATCATCCAGGTTACGGTAATAAATAGCATTTGAATTCAGAATACAATTACGGGGGAAAATATCCAAACAATGTTTACTTTTATCATATGGTTTAAAAAACTTGAGGTATCATTGTATTTATCAATTAAATTACGTTTATGACAAAATTCAACAAACGTCAACGTCATAATTATAGAGCAGGAGAGGTGTCCAAACTGAACTTCACTATAGGCTCCCCTAGAAATAGTTTCAATGACATATAAGACCAAGTTCAAAACGATTTGATTGCGGAGACACCAGAAGCATTGCAGAAACTTTTAGATTCATGAGATGTATATAATCTAAAATGTAAGTTAACACTCAATGTCTTCAAAACCAAGATTGTTATCATTCGAAATAGGGGGGACATAAGAGACGCTGAAAAATGGACCTACAACAACCAGGAAATCGAAATTGAAGATGAGTTCCATTTTATACTGCAATGTCCAATTTTAAAAGGTATCATTATAAATCACCTAGCGTTTTCAAACTTGTGCAACTGTAAAGTATAAATAATGTTAAGGAACTAAATAATCTTGGAAAATATATTAATTTTGCCTATAAGAAAAGAAAAACAGACTTTGGCTCAAAGTGAATATTATCGTTATATACCTTACATGTACATGTATATGTATTCCATGTATTATTTAAAATTCAAAGAAAAGCATGCCTTCACTGAAAAGTAATTATTACTTATACTTCTATGTGGGTCTGTCTGTGTGCGTGTCTGTCTGTATAACACAAGTTTTATTGCTAATGATATACAATATATATTCATTAAACTTAGTAATAATTGGTAGATTGACTCATCATTTATGTATTCGCAATCAAAGTAACATTGCCGCGGAGCTACCTCCCGTCTCTGTCAGTATGTGTTTTTGTATCTTATACAGACATGTTTATGTTACTTTCTGTGTTCTGTATGCTTGTCATGAGAGACCACTCTCCAAATATGTATGTAATATTATGTACTATATTTATGTATACCTATGGGCCGTAAGGCCCCCGGAATAAAACTAGAATTGAATTGAATTGACTAATGAGTGTGTTTACCTGTAATTGTTACATGTGAGAGTTAAAGTATGAATGTGACAGTGTGTGTCAGTATGTCGTGAACCTTTCCCTAGAATGTTAATTAGCCAGAGGTGTAATAGTACAAGTTTTACCAATACAATACAATTTAATTTTGCATAAAATACATACATACAAGCATGATCTAAAATGTACAACAATAGGATTGACACCCAGCCTACTGGGGCTTACGAGACACTATACATATTCGTTAATACTACGTTATTTATCAATACTAAAAATCAGTTCATAGATATTAAAAATAAAATAAAAAAAAGATTAAGACTTAATATTTAAAACACATTCTTCTACGATACATCTTATGAACTGTGCTCGCCAGGACCAAGGACTTAGAATCTAATCTAATTCCGTGATTAGGTTAATTCATTAAGACAACAAGTTTCTGAACAGTGTTAAAATAGTTCAAACCTGGTTCAATCTGTTCTGCTGTTGTAAAAAGATGAGCTCTGATATCTGAATAAAAATCACATACAATCAGAAAATGGCATTCGGCTTCAATACAGTTTAATATATAAAGTCTATCTTTTAAAAGTATTTTAGGGTGAGAATACCAGTTTCAATGCTTAGTTTTGAATTACCACTGCAAAATTTAGCTAAAGCCTGTCTATACCTGAAATCCATAATACTCGAGGCATACGTTTCCGTGTAACTACTAGTTTTGTACAATCTGTATGTTCTCAACTTATTGCCGTTATCACGATTACGGTCATTATGTAAATCAATAAGCCACTTTTCATTGTCCAGACATTTCACACATTCACGCAGTTTCACCTGTCTCCCTTAGTTCGGATCGCGTAAGATCTCCCCACACCCGTGGTGGCTTCCCCCCAGGGGTGACTTGGGTTAGGTACGATTGTCCCATTATAAGCTTTGAATTACGCAACTAACAAATAGGTGTAAAGGGAATAAAGTGCCCAATTCGATGCTGTTACAAAAAGGCTTAATTATGAAATCTTCTTCTTTTCTTGAAACTTTTTTGATGATATATCAATCAATATTGAAAATATTTAATAAAGTCGATATATAAAAAGAAAAATAATAAAATATTATAGAATATAAATCACCGAACCGATTTAGAATTGACCGTCAAGGAAAAAAGGAGTTTAGAGGACATTCTTACCTATTTTTTCCTAAACTATAATGTAATGTCTGCCCGTGATGACTTCTCATAATATATTCTGAAATAACAAGTTTTGTAATTGTTTCATGACGCTGAAATGAAGAACAACAATATAAATAATATTAATGTTCAAATAATGTTGAAAAGGCAATCTGTCTCTGCTTATATAGACATTTGGCAAAATATGTCAGTAGATGAGTTTTATCCATTAATTTGTATTATTTATTCATTTATATTGTTGGATGGTTGTTATCGGTATCAGGTGCGTTGATTGACTGTTTACTATAGTCGCATGCAAAGTCGTAGTCTAGCCGTCTAGGGGGTCGAACTCCAACCCCCGGGGCAAAACGTAACCTAGCAGCTCTGTAGTGCTGTCTAGTGACATTTGAGAGAAATACATGAATACATTCTAAACACAAATCTTCAAAACTTCTGAAACAAGGATGAAACAAACTTGTTTTTAAATTCCGAAAATGAAACACAAAAGAATCAGCAATGCTTATACTAAATGGTTTTTTATTTGTATTATATTTGAGACAATCAAAATAATGTTATCGCTATATGGCAGAGCGGTCAGTGTTAATTCTCCACCCTACATCAGAGACTCTGCCTACATATAGTACCAACGATCATTTTAATCAAGTAATCTTGCAATTATCATACCATTTAATGCCCCAGTAAATGATATCCTTTTTTATCATAGCCTAAATTATTATAGTTAAAAAATGGTACCCGCGGCTTGAAGATAATTAAATGATAAAGCTGAGATCCAAAATACATTCATTTTGTTGTAATTCACAATAAAGCGTGCATTCATTTCCCCGAAGATGTTATGTCTTCAAAGTCCGCCACTTACTTATTTTGTAAACGGTTATTATGTATCATTATGTAGTTTTATATTGGCAGTTTTATATAGCGTATATAATTGTATAGACTGTTACCTCAAGAAGTAACAGTTGTCTCCCTTAGTAAAATTCAAACTAAGTAGTCGATAAATAAAGTAAATATTTTGTTCAATATTTTAACAGAAATATACGAAATTGCCATCGCTACACAAATTAAAAATATACCATTCCTATTTATTAGTTTAAGTACAACCAATAAAGTGAATTCCTATACATATTCTTTTTCTACAATTATCAACTATTTTTACCTTATTGACGATGGTGGTTAGATAGCGGAAGTGGGCTGTAACTTAAAAACATAAGCTTCTACAATGAGTTGTTGACAGTTCACAAGAACACGTTGTGTGGAACCCACACATCGACATCCTGGTTCGAAGTATTTATGAATATTTGTGTAAGAAAGCCGAGAACCTTTACTGTCTGTAAACACTATATTTACGTGCGTCTGATTGTAGCCAACAACAGTTTGACGAGTAGTTAACAGGTTAAGTAAAAACGATTTTAATGTGACATTTCCACGCAATACAATCTATCACAGATTCTACTGAAATTGTTTGCTCGATAGCTTTCCACTTCTAACAGATAAATGTTGTAATTTTTAATAGGACCACTCCGTATTTTGTTTATTGCTGTGAAAGGTAAATAAGGGGTGTTAGTATTTTGAGTATTGTTTCAAAAATCCTAGAAAAAGCAATTTATAAACAACTGGAACAATTTTTGATTGATAACAACATTTTGTATGAGTTCCAATCTGGTTTTAGAAAATCCTATTCCACTGACTCCTGTTTGATCACATAAAGTCCCAGACGTCTAAAGGTCTCTTCACTGGAATGGTTTTACTAGACCTACAGAAGGCCTTTGATACAGTCGACCATGGGATTTTGTGTGATAAACTTGGTGTAATTGGCATTGAGTCGGTGGAGTGGTTCACATCATACCTTACCAACAGAAAACAATTAGTCAATATCAATAATGTGAACTCGGATATCTGTAATATAACATGCGGGGTACCCCAAGGGAGTTTATTGGGACCGCTTCTTTTTCTCATTTATGTAAATGACATGCGGATCAGTATTGACCCAGGATGCAAATTATTTCTGTACGCAGATGACAGTGCAATTATCTTCTCGCACAAAGACCCAAAAATTATTTCAAAATTTCTATCGAAAAACTTAGAGTCATGTCACGATTGGCTAACAGATAACAAATTATCCTTACATCTTGGAAAAACAGAGAGTATTTTGTTTGGCCCCAAAAGGAAACTTTCCAAATTACCTGAAGGCTCATTTTCTGTTTCGTGTTACGGTAATATAATTATGCCTCAGGTGTGTGTCAAATATCTTGGTATTATATTGGACAACTTTCTATCTGGAGAACAAATTGTCCAAAATATTATAAAAAAAGTGAACCAGAAATTGTGGTTTCTATATAGACACCGTGACTGTCTCAATTTTAGATCTAGAAAAACCCTGGTGTCGGCACTGATCCAATGTCATTTTGACTATGCTTCTAGCTGCTGGTTCGAAAACATATCCAAAAAACTTCGACAAAAAGTTCAAATTACACAGAATAAAGTGGTCAGATTTATTCTGAAACTTGATAATAGATCAAGAGTCACCCATCGGGAATTGGAACAAGTTAATATGTTGGATGTTGGGGGCAGGGTGAAACAGCTCCGTTTTAACCATGTCTTTAATATTCAACATAACAAATGTCCATCCTATATGAAAGAAAATTTTACTAGAACAGAGAAAAAACACTTTACCAGGAACAGTGATCTGAATTTCAACATTCCTTATATAAAAGGTGTGGAATCATTATCTTTTTTCTATAATGCTATCAAAGATTGGAATAACTTACCACATTCAATAAAATCTGTCGATCACAAGATGAAATTCAAAAGCGAGATAAAAAAGTACTTACAAGTTTTGGCAAAAAATGATTTTGAGCAAGAATTTGTCTTCTAAAGGTAATTTTTATTCTATCCCAGTGGATGACTCTAAACTTCTTCTGAAAAATATATGATGTATTACCAAAGTTTTAACTAAAGTACCAATATAATATGTACTTTTTATAAATGTTATGGAACATTTTATTACCATCATCCTCAATCTTTATTTTATTAAAAGTCATTTTTATATATGTATTATACCCCAAATTGCTATAATTTGTTAGACAGATAATAGGTTGGTAGGGATTGTCCAACCACCTGTTGTCTGTTCTACACACAAGTACCACAGTATAAATGTATATCTTATATTGTTACTTAATATCTGCAAGAATGACATCATCTTGCTTTATGATATGTACAGTGATACATATAACTGATATTTTAATATTACAAGTGGAAACAACATCATGCATAGCCCCACATATATATATTATCAGAAGGAAATCATATTTGCTAATGACAACTCCATCTTATACCGTCAAATAAAATAACATCTCATTTTGATGAAATAATATATCATCATCATATTTGACCAATTACAACTTATTCTATTCATATATATATTATTACGAGAAATTATACCATCTTATATTCATATTATAAGGTCAAATCCTTAGGACCTTTTGTTATCTAAGTAATTAAGATCTATACTAGAGGACCCCATTGGAAATAAGCTGCCACCCAGCTTTCATGGGATATCCTAGGTTAAAGCTTAGTCAAACAGATACATTGTAATTATAGTGCTCCAAAATTTGTGATATTAACTTTGATGTGATAAGCTAAATACTGTGATAAATCTGTGATTATTATGCAATTGAAATCTGTGATCTTATGTGATATTTGTACCTGTATCTTGCTTTTACCGAATAAATATTATTATTATTTAGACGTTTCGGCACTGTGTCGTTTTGGTAATGAGATGCGGTACAAAGTCTTTTAGTTATAATATATTTTTTTTTACATATGTCTTACATTTCAATATTCATTTTGTACTATAGTATATGATTGCTTTTTGTGATATGTGTGTTACTCATTTACCATCTTTTCAAAAACAAAAAAATAAAAACAAAATCGAAACATTTACGGCATTGGATAGAGAAACATCTAGGATTCAGCAAACAAAATTTCTCAATCGACATCCAGTTTAAATGCTGTTAATATAACTGGTCTGTCAATTATAGCTATTATTATCACGGACAAATTCCGTGGTATAATTATATAAATACCTGGCCCCCTCTGCCCTAAATCGATCCCATGCCTTGTAATGTAACTACTAATATTAATACCCAGCCTCTGGCGACGCAATATATAAAATATTCTCGTTGTCAGAAAGCTACGTTATCGCAGCTACCTCTGCCCAAGCCTGGTATTAAATCGATCCCATATACCTTGTAATGAACAAGCCTGGGGTGAATCACACTGGGGCTATTGTAGCATTAATTGACAGCACATGGGTTTTAATCAATACTCTGGTTTTATATAAATTATTTCTGTTGGTTTCATATGTTACTTGAAGTTAAACTCTGCCTAAATTGTTATTAACTTATTGTTAAAAAATATTATAGCAAGGGCAATCGAAATCTAAATTGACTGCCATGATGGGAACTTTGTTTCTCTTCCAAGATATGTCATACTTCTATATATGGGTGTCATATATGTAATTCATAATAAACATTGCAGCATCTGAGTAGTAATACTGTATTTGGCCATGCAGGCCTATACACAGAAATGTATCATTGAGATGACATCATTCCTCAGCTTCACAGTGGTTATTTCTTTTTTTTTTCAAGACAGTCTTCGGCAAATTTTGTGAAAGAGTTATTTTACTGCATGTAGTAAGGATTCATTATGTCAATAAGTATGCATTGTTTTGATAATGGGCGGATTGGTCAAGTGGTTAACATTCCTGTCTTCCACGCAGGCGGCCGTGGTTCGATCCCCGAAGTCGTCGCACGCATGGATATTTAGAGAAAATGTTTTTCTCCTGCCCACACAACTCCAAAAACCCAGGTGGAGTATAAACTAGTCTGGGGTGGATGTTGAGTTATCTATGCTGTAGCATTCAAGTGAGGTGGCACTATAAATGATGCCATTGGAAGCACAGTCCCACTACAAACAGAACACATTACATCTCCATCACACACGCAGGCATACACACATAGGGAGATATTAGCCAGGTGGCATAGGACTAGTAGTTAGCGCCTGATAATGCAGCTCCTGCAAATTCCTCAAAATTGTATTGATTAAATTATATGCTGATTGTACACTTCTTTAATTGCATATCTATGTACTGTAAGGTGCTTTAGAGTGGCTTATGTTAGCTAGATAGGGCGCTATTTCAAATACTGTAAATTATTATTATTATTCATAATATTATACTCATATGAGGCATTTTTTTATATGTAATCTCACAGATTTGACACTTTTGATTTTGCTCTATTAGTTGGCATAGCTCTGACGATGTAATATATTAAATTGTCTCGTCGTCAGAAGCTATGTTATCGTAGCTAGTACATGTATGTCCAATGTTCAAAGTTTAAACTGTTGTGAAACACCCAAAAATGAAAAACAAAGTTGCTGAACCAAATTCTTTTTGTTCTATTACATAAAGCGATACATGTAACAATTTCATATATAAAAAAATGTCATTGTATTCAGTACTTTGTGTTGTGATGAAATAGTCTCAAAGGAATTATTATCAAAAATATACAATCATGAGTAAAAATCATGAAACTAAAAGTTGTTGTTCATGTAAAAACATACACATTTTGCAGTAAGTTAAATGTTATTTCTGCAGATAAAATGTTACGATACACAGGAAAGTTTATCATATACAGTGTATATAAAAGCTAATGTCTTTTCCCTTTCTTCATAATGAACTGTGTTTGTCTCTTTCAGACATTACAGCATTAGTAATGAAGTGAGGACTGGCAGCAATTAAAATGAATACAAATGGTGTTCCCATCCTGGAGAAGCCTCCTCCTCTCCCTCCCCGCCAACGCTCATTTGTGAGGACATCACAGCCCCCTCCAATTGGTTGGGCTATGCCTGAAGGAAATGCCTGGGAGCCACCCACTTCTACGACGGCTACTAACAACGGACAATTTTCAGCGAATAATAGTTTGGTATCCGATTCAGTCAATGAAAACAGACCTACCTCAGCACCAGCATTTACTAACTTTCAAACAGCATCGGGTGCTAGTCATTTCTCAGAAAAACCAAATAATATTGATTTGGCTGAAGCTAGAAGAGAACAAAACTCCCTGATATCTTTGTCCCCAGATAATACTCTGAGACAAAACCAAACTCCAAACAACATATTTAGTTCTGACCTGGAAGGTATTGATTTTACGACATCTGCTGAAAATAATAGTGATACAGCCAAGGAAGCCTCAGGTCAGTCGGACTCCCCAGAAAAAGGAAGTCCAACGAAAAATTACCAGGAATTCAGACATGTATTTTGTGATACAGCAGGTGGAAAAGAGAAATCCAGTCTACCAAAATCAGAAACCTACCCTCAGACTTCAGGGAATACAGGGTTACAATATGGTTGGAATAGTAATTTGTTTAATAATGATCCATGGAAACCTTTTGGTGCTACTGCCGTGGATGTTAGGGCTTCTGGACCAGGACATACTGCTAGTGGACAACCCACTGGGCTTTGGCCCACTGGTCCATTTCCCCACCAAGCATTTGGTCAGAATAGTGGCTTTGCAGCACCTGGTGCACAATTTGGATCATCATTGTCCCTAACTTCTAATCCGTTTTCTAATGTAGCGCCCACACTACCTGTGCGATCCTGTTCTACATTTTCTGATGCTGACTTCAACACTGTTGTGCTACCACCAACATCTACAGGTGTTCATGGGAATTCTGTCAATCTGAGTCAGTCATCTACAAATGCAAGTCATTTGCAAAATCTTTTTGAGTTAGACAATATTTCACAATGGGAGAGAGATCTTTCAGAAGGAAAATCAAATTCTGAAAAGTCCAATGACCTGATGGATTTTTCTCCTTCAGAGGAAATGGAGTATTTATCTCTTGATTCATTTGATCCATTATATGAAAGGACTCGAAGGGAATCATTTACTTCTAAGGATAAAGTTCCCTCATATTTGATTGGTGATATAAGTGCAAGGGAGGTAACCCCTGGGTTAAGACAACTGTCGGAGGATCAGATGGGCAGGAGACAGAGGAGCAGTGGTGGATCACTGTATCCAGTAGAACAGCTACAGGCAGCCAGAGTATCCTCTGATATACAAGCAGGAGAAGAGGATCTGGAGAAGTTTCTACAGTCGACAGCAACAGAGAGTGAAAAGACGAGCCAGGTTGAACCTCCACCTCGCCCACCTCCTATCAAGGTATGTCAACTCTCCCCAACAACCTTTCCCTATCTTTTGTCACCAAGCCCCTGTCAAAAGTCAAAGGCCTATTGAATAGTGAAAACATGATAAGGGTCATATAGGATTTGAGGCCAAATTTAGGAAAAAGGGAGAATTCTATTTTTTAAGAACTAGAAATGCCAATTTTTTCCCCCATGTTATTAGTTTTTTTCCTTTCCTTCAGTTGATATGTATGTATAATTTCATTAAATAAAGCTTAAGACCGGGTGGTGCAATGAATAGCGCACTTGCCTTTCACCATGGCGGCCGGGTTTAATTCCCTGAGCAGACGTGAAAAAGTATGGGGTCACCAGCTGCCCAACCACGTGGGTTTCCTCCTGGTTCTCTCGTTTCCTCCCACACAAAGACCCCCCCTACCCCCCCCCCCTGCACACACTAACATCCAGGCCAACAAAAGTAATTAATATAAGTTGAAAAAATTGTTTCATAATTCTTGTAAAATATATAAAGTTTATAAAAAAAAATAAAAAAAGCTAAAGACCAGGTGAATGTTGAGAAGCCTGAGCCTACTGTCTAGTAACATCTTCCTATAGACTACACATATGTTCCTCAGAGTTCAGTATGTTTTTTATGTTGTAACAGCCATTTTTATGTTCCAGTCCTCAACAAAGTTGTATGAAACCTTACGAAAACGCCTGTTTGTGGACGATGAATCACATGCATTCTGTCAAATGGTAGCAGAGTAAGTATCTGGGATAAAGAATAGTGGCTGAAGTATTTAAGTTGTTTGTTCCCCACCAGATGGGACAATAGGCTACCATTTACACTCTGTTTGACAGACATTCCTCAGGTCAGTCTTTCCCTAATTCTGTTGCCTACCCTGGACAAATTTTGTAGGGAAGTGTCTGTAGAATGGCCAAGTGTTGCATGCCAAATTTAGTTGTTGTGCCCAACTGTGTACAGGATTATAATCGTTTGTTCAATTTAATTCTGAATTCTTTGGCTGTAGGAGATCTGCAGAATTCCTGCAGAAGCCACTTCAGATTGCCATATACATTTTATTAAGTACAAAGTTATATATATGTAATTGTCTGATTAGCATTACCGATTTGCAAGGTTCTTATGAGCTTATACTATCTGTGTCTGTACTGGCAAATTTGAGCCATTGTGTATAAACTAATCTGTATATATATTTCAGTTTGAAGTCGAAGTACAAGTCGACAGATGAAGACTGTAACTTGGGATTTGTTGTGAGCCCCATGTGTGATAAACAGCAGCCCTCACTCTCCGTAAAAATTGTCATCTACTCCGACTTTGCCTCGGACCCAGTTTTATTTACATGTGATGGTGAGCCTGATTACATGATGATGTTATAATTTTGACATCTCATTTGTAACTAATACTTTCGGAAACTAACAAAGGGTAGACATTTTATACATCAGCAATCCATCAATTTTAAGATAAACAGTCAGAACAATAGTGGGTAATAGTGTAAGAGTTGTTTTTGCTGCTGCTTTGCCAACATATGTGGTTTGAACTTAATGCATTAAGTACTTCCATCAGGTAGTGCAGTATGTATTCAACCTTAGCCAATGTTTTAGCATAACAGTATTCTGCTAAATACAGCATTGTAATGTAAGTCTGATCTATTATGCGAATCAAATTTTTGTATCCTTTGATATGCTGATAATTTTTCTATAGCATTACTTCAGAAAACATTGCAGTAATATCAGCATTTGATTGAAATACATCGGTGACTTGGCACTAAATTTACCACTGAATGTCAGTATTTTTTTATGAGGCCTATCAAATAAATTGCATGTTTCTAGTTTTCATAATAGCCCTTTCTTGATAGCTTGTCCAAAAGTTTTTGAGCCTATTTTAGAAAGCATTGTTGAAGTCAAGATCCTTCCTCTATATGGTGCGAAACACAAAGGTTTTTGAAATGTGAAACATATAATTATTGTTGTCATATTTGATTTATAAATTTTATACACTGTCAGGTAATTGATGTGCTGTTTACCTATACAAACAAGCTTAAAATAAGACATGACATATAACCAGACTTGACCAACAATTGGACATTATATAGTTTTTTCATAGAGCCTAAAAAGAAACTAAAGCCTCTGCATTTGTAAAAACTAGAATGTGTGTTTGTATTGTGTTGTATATTTGTTTCCCTCAGTCCACACCCTGGTGGAGCACATTGTATTTGTATTGTGTTGTATATTTGTTTCCTTCAGTCCACACCCTGGTGGAGCACATTGTGTGTAACGCGTTGTACAACCATCTGACAGATGTCTCCAATAGTTTTTGCTCCAAGGATTTCATCCTCAAAGTGTCAGACAGATCCGAGTACCTTCTCAAGTAAGTACAGACACATGTAGCTTGATTAATCCGACATTTTAACTAATTGGCTATATTAGAGAATTATAAATGCACACGAAAGGTGAATACCTTGCAAAGGGAAGTAATTCTCTAAGCCATAAAAATATCCATTAGGTTGCTCAATCATCTATATCCATATTGTACCAGGAAGAATACTGCAAGTGGATCTCCTCTTCATGATGAGACTTATTGAAGTGGTACACTTTACCTTGAATCTCTTTATAGCGAATGCTCTTGCGTGAGCCCGCTTCACATAGTGAGCTTCATAGGTAACATGTACATGTACACATACACGTAAAAGAAACCCCAGTCAAAATCTACCATGAAATCCCATAGACCTAGCAAGTCAATTCACTTGCATAGTTTGGGAAATCGAGCGTGCTCAAAAACCGTTTATGGAAGCCGCCATTTTGGATCCACCGGATGTAGATTAATTTCCAATAAAATGAATCTTTGTCAATACAGAAACATACGGTCTCAGATACTGTTTCTTTTCTTTTTCAATTTTAATGATTTCTATGACATAACGCCGATTTCCCGGCCCATTTCTGACTATCAAGACCAAACCGAGCAATCACAGATACAACCTGTGTACAAAGTCATCAGTAATTATGACGTCATAATCAATATTTCCGTGTACATATTTTATACTGATGATAAGCGGTGTGGTAAGTAAGACGGTACATGTTATAAAGAATATATGTCAGGCATCTTTGTTTTGAGATTCTGCTGTAGGCTACACGATGCGTATACCTAGTTACATATGAAATACATGAAGTTTATTTTACACAGTCGAATAGGAAAATTTACAATCATTAAGTTTTTAATCAAATTCAGTATGAGATCAAGTTGTAAAAATAACAACACAATTATCATAGAAAAGTATCATATTATTTGTGTGTAAGAAATCCGGTCTTTAGTCAATGTAAAAGAGCAACATTACGCAAGATACATGTACATTGTATATGTCAGGAGTAAGGGGGTAGGTTGTATTTCTTTCCATTTTCGTAGAGTCTACCAACTCGGGTTCGAAATGGCAATCCCGGGATTATCATGAAAAGTCAAATTGATCTATATTGTATATATATACTTTACTAATCAAATCATTCTAATAGAAGACTTAAAGGAAAAGGAGGGAGGAATGTAGCAGAACTGGACTGGATCGACCAGATAGCTCAATTGGTAGAGCGTCCGTTTGGAGGGTCCCGGGTTCAAACCCCGGTCTGGCCATGCATTTTTTCTCTCCTGTTACATTGGTGTATATAATTAAATTGGCTAATGTCCTCTTGAACATTATATACCGTAATATACCGTAACACATATAGTCATTATGATACAAATTAAAGTGTGGTCCATACCACATTGCATAGGGATACATGTACATGTCTATTCCATTGAATTATATAATGTACCAGTGGTTTTCATTACAAAAATTGAACCTCTGTGTGCGATCCGTTATCATCTAAAATATTAATACTTACTCTTAAACTATTATCAGGTGGTTACACTATTTTATTCAATAGATTAAAATGTATACAGTATAATTTTATTAAGCGTTCGCCTCTAGTTAGCAACTATTTCATATTAGCTTATACATTATATGTTTAGTAAATATGTCCTTTATTTGAGCATTTGGTGAATATGTTTAATTTATGTGTGTTTCTACAGTGACCAAGAATTGTCCAAGTATGAGTATGTCCACGAGTGTCTAAAGCTTGACCAAGATATACGGTTCACACTGATGCGACGTCAAGATGTTTTCTTGCCCTTCCTCAGGACGGTCAGTACCCACCATAATAACAATAATGAACAATTATAGACTTTTGTTGAGGCCATAACGGGGTAAAACACTTAAGGGATGAGGAAAAGCTTAGAAAGGTTCACACTACCCGTCAATGATCAGACTAAAGAAACACTTTGAGAAATGAATAAAGGTGTGAATTTATGCAATGCATTACTGTGGTAAAACTTCAATAAATCATTTGCATATTGTTGGTTACAGATCTAAACCCCTTTTCTGATTGTCTGTCATTGTTTTTTGTTAATAAGGAGACACAACTGTTTTTTACACAGAATTATGTTAGCTAATTTATGCAATGCATTATCATAGACAGACTTCAATGAGAATAATTTGTGTAGTGCATGAAATTATTAGAGATCAAATCAACCTTTTCCCTGATTGTCTGTATTAGTGTTTTAAAATCTTAATACCCTCATTTTAATAAACTTTGATGTGTAATGTGTATCGTGCATGGTGTGCTATAGTGTATCCTGTGTGTGTTAACTGTGTTTATGTACAGGTGGATGATGTGCTATTCTATAGTGTATCCTGTGTGTGTTAACTGTGTTTATGTACAGGTGGATGATGTGCTATTCTATAGTGTATCCTGTGTGTGTTAACTGTGTTTATGGACAGGGGGATGATGTGCTATTCTATAGTGTAGCCTGTGTGTGTTTACTGTGTTTATGTACAGGTGGATGGTGTGCTATTCTATAGTGTATCCTGTGTGTGTTAACTGGGTTTATGTACAGGTGGATGATGTGCTATTCTATATTGTATCCTGTGTGTGTTAACTATGTTTATGTACAGATGGTTGATGTGCTATTCTATAGTGTATCCTGTGTGTGTAAACTGTGTTTATGTACAGGTGGATGGTGAGCTATTCTATAGTGTGTAAACTGTGTTTATGTACAGGTGGATGGTGAGCTATTCTATAGTGTATCCTGTGTGTGTTAACTGGGTTTATGTACAGGTAGATGGTGTGCTATTCTATAGAGTATCCTGTGTGTGTTAACTGTGTTTATGTACAGGTCGATGGTGTGCTATTCTATAGTGTATCCTGTGTGTGTTAACTGGGTTTATGGACAGGTGGATGATGTGCTATTCTATAGTGTATCCCCTGTGTGTGTTAACTATGTTTATGTACAGGTGGATGGTGTGCTGTTCTATAGTGTATCCTGTGTGTGTTAACTGTGTTTATGGACAGGGGGATGATGTGCTATTCTATAGTGTAACCTGTGTGTGTTTACTGTGTTTATGTACAGGTGGATGGTGTGCTATTCTATAGTGTAGCCTGTGTGTGTTAACTGTGTTTATGTACAGGGGGATGATGTGCTATTCTATATTGTATCCTGTGTGTGTTAACTGTGTTTATGTACAGGTGGTTGATGTGCTATTCTATAGTGTATCCTGTGTGGGTTAACTGTGTTTATGTACAGGTAAATGATGTGCTATTCTATAGTGTATCCTGTGTGTGTTAACTGGGTTTATGTACAGGTGGATGATGTGCTATTCTATATTGTATCCTGTGTGTGTTAACTATGTTTATGTACAGGTGGTTGATGTGCTATTCTATAGTGTATCCTGTGTGTGTTAACTGTGTTTATGTACAGGTGGATGGGGTGCTATTCTATAGTGTATCCTGTGTGTGTTAACTTTGTTTATGTACAGGTGGATGATGTGCTAATGATGTGCTATTCTATAGTGTATCCTGTGTGTGTTATCTGTGTTTACGTACAGGTGGATGGTGTGCTATTCTATAGTGTATCCTGTGTGTGTTATCTGTGTTTACGTACAGGTGGATGGTGTGCTATTCTATAGTGTATCCTGTGTGTGTTTACTGTGTTTATGTACAGGTGGATGATGTGCTATTCAAAAGGGTATCCTGTGTGTGTTAACTGTGTTTATGTACAGGTGGATGATATGCTATTCTATAGTGTATCCTGTGTGTGTTAACTTTGTTTATGTACAGGTGGATGATGTGCTAATGATGTGCTATTCTATAGTGTATCCTGTGTGTGTTTACTGTGTTTATGTACAGGTGGATGATGTGCTATTCTATATTGTATCCTGTGTGTGTTAACTGTGTTTATGTACAGGTGGATGGTGAGCTATTCTATAGAGTGTTAACTGTGTTTAGGTACAGGTGGATGATGTGCTATTCTATAGCAGGTGGATGGTGTGCTATTCTATAGTGTATCCTGTGTGTGTTTACTGTGTTTATGTACAGGTGGATGATGTGCTATTCTATATTGTATCCTGTGTGTGTTAACTATGTTTATGCACAGGTGGTTGATGTGCTATTCTATAGTGTATCCTGTGTGTGTTATCTGTGTTTATGTACAGGTGGATGATGTGCTATTATATAGTGTATCCTTTGTGTGTTAACTGTGTTTATGTACAGGTAGATGGTGTGCTATTCTATAGTGTATCCGGTGTGTGTTAACTGTGTTTATGTACAGGTGGATGATGTGCTATTATATAGTGTATCCTTTGTGTGTTAACTGTGTTTATGTACAGGTAGATGATGTGCTATTCTATAGTGTATCCTGTGTGTGTTTACTGTGTTTATGTACAGGTGGATGATGTGCTATTCAAAAGGGTATCCTGTGTGTGTTAACTGTGTTTATGTACAGGGGGATGATGTGCTATTCTATATTGTATCCTGTGTGTGTTAACTGTGTTTATGTACAGGGGGATGATGTGCTATTCTATATTGTATCCTGTGTGTGTTAACTATGTTTATGCACAGGTGGTTGATGTGCTATTCTATAGTGTATCCTGTGTGTGTAAACTGTGTTTATGTACAGGAGGATGGTGAGCTATTCTATAGTGTGTAAACTGTGTTTATGTACAGGTGGATGATGTGCTATTATATAGTGTATCCTTTGTGTGTTAACTGTGTTTATGTACAGGTAGATGGTGTGCTATTCTATAGTGTATCCTGTGTGTGTTAACTTTGTTTATGTACAGGTGGATGATGTGCTAATGATGTGCTATTCTATAGTGTATCCTGTGTGTGTTTACTGTGTTTATGTACAGGTGGATGATGTGCTATTCAAAAGGGTATCCTGTGTGTGTTAACTGTGTTTATGTACAGGGGGATGATGTGCTATTCTATGGTGTATCCTGTGTGTGTTAACTGTGTTTATGTACAGGTGGTTGATGTGCTATTCTATAGTGTGTCCTGTGTGTGTTAACTGTGTTTATGTACAGGTGGATGGTGAGCTATTCTATAGAGTGTTAACTGAGTTTAGGTGCAGGTGGATGATGTGCTATTCTATAGTGTATCCCCTGTGTGTGTTAACTATGTTTATGTACAGGTGGATGATGTGCTATTCTATATTGTATCCTGTGTGTGTTAACTATGTTTATGTACAGTTGGTTGATGTGCTATTCTATAGTGTGTCCTGTGTGTGTTAACTGTGTTTATGTACAGGTAGATGGTGTGCTATTCTATAGTGTATCCTGTGTGTGTTATCTGTGTTTATGTACAGGTGGATGATGTGCTATTCAAAAGGGTATCCTGTGTGTGTTAACTGTGTTTATGTACAGGTGGTTGATGTGCTATTCTATAGTGTATCCTGTGTGTGTTATCTGTGTTTATGTACAGGTGGATGATGTGCTATTCTATAGTGTTGTGTGTTAACTGTGTTTATGTACAGGTGGATGGTGAGCTATTCTATAGTGTATCCTGTGTGTGTTAACTTTGTTTATGTACAGGTGGATGATGTGCTATTCTATAGTGTTGTGTGTTAACTGTGTTTATGTACAGGTGGATGGTGAGCTATTCTATAGAGTGTTAACTGTGTTTAGGTACAGGTGGATGATGTGCTATTCTATAGTGTATCCTGTGCGTGTTAACTGTGTTTACGTACAGGTGGATGGTGTGCTATTCTATAGTGTATCCTGTGTGTGTTAACTGTGTTTATGTACAGGTGGATGATGTGCTGTTCTATAGTGTATCCTGTGTGTGTTAACTATGCTTATGTACAGGTGGATGATGTGATATACTATAGTGTATCCTGTGTGTGTTAACTGTGTTTATGTACAGGTGGATGGTGAGCTATTCTATAGTGTGTTAACTGTGTTTATGTACAGGTGGATGGTGAGCTATTCTATAGAGTGTTAACTGTGTTTAGGTACAGGGGGATGATGTGCTATTCTATAGTGTATCCTGTGCGTGTTAACTGTGTTTATGTACAGGTGGATGATGTGCTGTTCTATAGTGTATCCTGTGTGTGTTAACTATGCTTATGTACAGGTGGATGATGTGCTATACTATAGTGTATCCTGTGTGTGTTAACAGTGTTTATGTACAGGTGGATGATGTGCTATTCAAAAGTGTATCCTGTGTGTGTTAACTGTGTTTATGTACAGGTGGGTGATGTGCTATTCTATAGTGTATCCTGTGTTTGTTAATTGTGTTTATGTACAGGTGGATGGTGTGCTATTCTATAGTGTATCCTGTGTGGGTTAACTGTGTTTATGTACAGGGGGATGATGTGCTATATTCTATAGTGTGTTAACTGTGTTTATGTACAGGTGGATGGTGTGCTATTCTATAGTGTATCCTGTGTGTGTTAACTGTGTTTATGTACAGGTGGATGATGTGCTGTTCTATAGTGTATCCTGTGTGTGTTAACTGTGTTTATGTACAGGTGGATGACGATGCCCAGAACCTTGTCTTCCCTAAAGATTACATCAAGACAGATGAAGCTGTAGTCACCAGGTATATTCTTTACAGGAAGCAGGAACACGTGTCCAATTACAAAACACTTGTTCTTTTATGATACAATTCACAAAAAATTCTGTTAATTCTAAAAAATAAAAGAGAACCTGTATTTAGTTTCACTTTGTTATAGATTACGATTTTACCAATTAGATCTGTATATATGCCACCTTTCAAAAAGAGAAAAAGGATTGGTTTTAAAATTAATATGTATGAAACATTCATGTTTTATGTTCTAAAATAGTACACAGTTGAAGGTACTACATTCTTTCGGAGAATATAAATCAAAATTCTTCTCTTCTTTCATTTCTTACACAAATTTACATTTCCAAATTTACAAACATACAGAATATGTGTATAAGTAAGATGAATTATGTTTTTTTTCATAGGTGAAATAAGAGATATGATCTGCATAAATCCCATTCAGAACATATTTTCTGATGCATTTTACAGAACTACAGTTGTTCACAATTTGAATACATTGTAATTGGAAACTAAAAATGAAAACAAAACCCAGAAATTCCAGGGACCTGTTTGTTTATGCAAAAGAACCGATATGTCCGTTTTTAAATGTAACAATTTTTGGTATAAATCCTGACGGACTTGCAAAAGTTTATGCAGGCCTTGCAAGGCTTTGTTACATCTCGACTGAAAGCAGCATCAGATTACTAGGTCCGACTTTATTTAATAAACGAACAACTGTGGTCCGACCAGTTCAACCGTTTTAACGAAAATAGCCCAGGTGTCAAACTCGGCACCAAACTATGGCCACTCTTACACTTCGTTTAAGTTCCTATTCCGGAATTCTTAATGCACATTATCAAAGTACACGTAATCAATGAATATCTTGTCAATTGAAATAACTAACTTGACGTCAACACATGTAATTAATTGAAATAACTAACTTGACGTCAACACATGTAATTAAGTGAAATAACTAACTTGACGTCAACACATGTAATTAAGTGAAATAACTAACTTGACGTCAACACATGTAATTAAGTGAAATAACTAACTGTATCTTAATAGCATAAATTTGGTTTTGTTTTATTCAGAGGACAATTAGAAATTCTGATAAACATTTTCTACACACAAGTGGAAAAATTACGGGATCATGTTCTAAAGGTGAGTGGCTATGTGACTACCTTATGTGCACAATAACATGTACCTGGTATGTGCCATATTTGACATACTAGTAATGTGGGCTCCAGGGGCATGTAATTGACAAGTGGGTTGCGTTTATTTTAGACATGTTTTTGCTCAAACCATATACCTAATAATTTGATAGTTTTTCCACCGCGGCAGAGACATGAAGGTCTCTTTGGTGGTCAGGTTGCGCAGTGGAAAGCGCACTCTTAGGTGGTCAAGTGGCGCAGTGGAAAGCGCACTCGCCTTTTACACAGACAGGCAGGGTTCTGTTCCCTGATTGGACATGAAAAGGTATGAGGTGAGGTCACCTGCCCGGCCACAGGTTTTCTCTTGGTACTCTGGTTTCCTCCCACAGCCACATTAAGACCCCCTGCACGGATAATTATTGTAAAATAAATATAAAGTTTATATTAATGAAGGTCTCTGTATCCCTGGCTCCCAAGTTTATTCTCCATTAACCCTTTCACCACTGTAGACCATAATGGAATCATCCATATAAATGCATGGTAGAGTCTACTAAAGTTACACAGGGGTGAAAGGGTTAATAAAGTGCAAAGTGGAACATCGTTTGGAAGATGACATTGGTCGCTGTATCAGCAGATAATTTTCCATGGCAGTTTTTGTTTACAATAATTGTGTACAGTGCCGTTTTGGAGGTAAAAAAAAAATAGACTTCAAGATACCTCTTCATATACATTAAAGTATCAAATAAGGGTCACTGTGTTGTGTATTTTCTTAATCATTGGCACAATGGCTAGACTTTTTCGTTTAACTCAGTTTCTTTGGTTAGATTTTGTGTTTTACCTCCATTTACATCAAAGTGGCAATGGGGGCAGTTTTTGTCTCGCCGCCACAAAGTAGCAGAAGCGAGACTAAGGTGTTTCTTTTCCAGCGACGGCGGCGTCAACATTAAATTTTTTCATATAAGTTTCTCTGAAACTATAAGTGCTAGACCACGCAAACTTGGACCATAGATGCATCTTAGGTAGTACATCTCAACCCATGCATCAAATGCTGGATGCGGCCTACCTTTCATGGTCCATTGACTTTGTCAGCTTCTCTATCAACATTAAGGTTTTATGTTTAAGTCAGTTTCTCTGAAACTATAAGTGCTGGAACAACTAAACTTGACATTTGCATTGATGGTCGTAGAGAGGCGGAGGCGAGACATATCAATTTGAATGGCTTGTTTGTTTAAGAAACATCTACTATTTAAAATGAATTTTTACACTTTATTTTTCAGAATGAGACCAACGAGATACGCTTCCGAAGCCTACAGCAGTCTGTGAAGGCTGTATGTATGACACTGGCCAAAATAGAGACAATAGACATCACGAAAACCCTACGTCGGGCTGAGGGAATTGTTCAACAGTTTGTGGTACGGGACACTTCCTATATAGACATTCCACCCTTTGTCTACATGTATTGACCAATAGATATTCCACCCATTGCTTACTGCTATTGACAGATATATATTCCCCCCTTTGTCTACTTCTATTGACAGATAATAGATATTCCACCCTTTGTCTACATGTATTGACCAATAGATATTCCACCCATTGTTTACTGCTATTGACAGATATATATTCCCCCCATTGTCTACATGTATTGACCAATAGACATTCCACCCATTGTTTACTGCTGTTAACAGATATATATTCCACCCTTTGTCTACTTCTATTAACAGATATATATTCCCCCCATTGTTTACTGCTATTGACAAATATATATTCCCCCCTTTGTCTACTGCTGTTGACATATATACATTCCCCCCTTTGTTTACTCTTATTGACAGATATATATTCCCCCCTTTGTTTACTCTTATTGACAGATATATATTCCCTCATTGTTTATTGCTATTGACATATATATATTCCCCCCTTTGTCTACTTCTATTGACAGATATATATTCCTTCCCCCCTTTGTCTACTTCTATTGACAGATATATATTCCCCCTTTGTTTACTGCTATTTACAGATATATATTCCCCCCTTTGTCTTCTGCTATTTACAGATATATATTCCCCCCTTTGTCTACCTCTATTGACAGATATATATTCCACCCTTTGTCTACTGCTATTGATAGATATATATTCCCCACTATGTCTACTGCTATTGACAGATATATATTCCCCCCTTTGTCTACTTCTATTGACAGATATATATTCCACCCTTTGTTTACTGCTATTGACAGATATATATTCCACCCTTTGTCTACTTCTATTGACAGATATATATTCCACCCTTTGTCTACTGCTATTGATAGATAAATATTCCCCATTGTCTGCTTCTATTGACAGATATATATTCCTGCCTTTGTTTACTGCTATTGACAGATATATATTCCCCCCTTTGTCTACTTCTATTGACAGATATATATTCCCCCCTTTGT